ATAACGTCTGCTCCTCGCCAAATATAATTAGAATGATCAAATCAAGGAGAATATATGGATAGGGCATATAACATGCATTGGATAGAAGCGTAATCCATACAAGATTTTGGTGGGAAAACACGATGGAAAGAGACCAGTAGGATGACCTAGACGTAAGTGGAATATATTATTAAAATGGGTCTTAGGGAAATGGAGTGGNACACCACATATACACGGTGCCAAATCCCAGAAGACTGCTTTCTCCAATTGAGGGATCTTGTTAAAACGGAAATGAACCTTCGGGTTCTGTAAAATGTTGGGAATTTCTTGAGTAACTGAGCGGCTGGCGGCTTCTCAAGAAGGAATCAGTTAATTTACATGAATTTGGTACTTCGAACAGGTACGTATATGTGGAAACAAAACGGATTTGTGCATTGTTCGAGGTGCGATATGACCGGTTGCATTCGTCGCAGGGTTCCGAACTTGTACAGAAGGCATGATGGGTGTCTTCAAGAAACAAACAAGTGTTTTGAATGTGAAGTGTTTTTAGTACGACCGCACAATAGCATGGAGATGTGGGAAGGGCTGGAAGCCATTTGTCAATTTCATGACAGCATTTCATGAACCGTTTACGGTTAGGTATGTTTGATTATGATAGATTATAAATGCGTAGGAAAATAATATATCATCTTGCGATAAATAATAGTTTCTTTACTCACCAACTGCCTTGTTGACTCCTGCATTAGAAGTAATAACCGCTGATATATTAGTCCTATTATCAAGCAGAAAAGTTACCTCAGTATTAAATAATAAAGAAAAATATCTTAAGGAGTAGCAAACAGAAAAAGATAAATTTCAATTTCGTGTATAGAATTCTCGTCTTACAATTTTTGATATTGTCGAAAGAACGAGAGAAGCCGCCATTGTGAATACCGTGATATGATATAATCATTTTGCGTTTTTATCGTTACATGCCGTTATACAGTGTTGAGCTTACAGCGTCGTTAAATAAACAATACATAAATCTGTCTTGAGGATTTTGGAGGGGGTCCGTTTACTTTTACTTCTTTCTTCTGCCTGTGGTTATATTTTTTGACAATCTCTAACACAGTTTTCTTTCAGTTTTCATACATCATCAGCCCTCTACCTCAAATCTTCGTATATGATTGATCACTTCGCCGCCGACAATAAGCCTGGTCTGATCAACTTCTCTTCCACAACGAACTGTCGTTAAATATGAAAAATCGATGTAGTGAACTCCAGCGCCTTAGAGTCGCAGCTGGTAGATTTCTATATACGTTTCATTGCGAATAAATAGCGATTTTGACCTTTAGAGAAGACGTCAGTCTCTTTTATCGGCCAGAAGTGTATAGCATGAAACATTCGGGCTACGGGCTGGACAGCTGAGGAATCTGAATTCGATTTCCGAAAGTAGCAAGAGATTTTACTTTTCTCCACAGCGTCTAGACCCCCTCTTAGCCTATCAGATGGATACTGGAGGCTCTTTTCCTCGGAGGAAAAAGCGGCTGGGGCGTGAAACTGATCACTCATTTCGACCTAGTTCCGAGGTTAAGAATGGTGGAGCTCTCCCTCCACTTGTAGCGGTGTATCGGACAGCGTCACATTAAACGCCTGTACCCAGCCGTCAAGGAATTCACCTCCCGCGGATAACAAATTTATTAAATCTGTACTTAATTGAATAGTACACTGTGAGTACGTATAGAGGGGTTGGGATGTAAGTCCCCTGCATTCTTAACTTCGGCACTACATGAGCGTCAGTGGTCAGTTTTACGCCTCTGCCGTTTTGACCCCTCAGAAAGAGCCCTAGGTAATCATGGAACAGGAAGATGGGTCGGCTTAAAAGAGTCAGGTAGGATGCTGTGGAGAAGAGAAAAATCACTTTCCTCTGATGGGACTCAGACCCCTATTCTTCGGTAGTTCAGTTCGTAGTATTGTCACTATATTGACTGAGCTAATCCGTCTTCGAATGACCAATGATTTTTTTAATGCTGGCGGGGTGGGACTAAGTCCTTTGTACCGCGGCCAATTCTGGCCAATTATACCAGCCCCAGATGATAGGTGAGGGTGATTGTGGAGCACTTGGTGGAATGAAGATTGGCAGGGGAAACCGAAGTACTCGGAGAAAACCTGCTCCAGAGCCACTTTGCCCACCACAAATCCCACTTGACCAGACCCCGGGATCGAACCCGGGCCGCCACGGTGGGAAGCCAGCGGCTAACCGCTTGAGCTATGGCGTGGCCCTGTGACCAATGATGGTGGACTATTTTTTATTTGTTTATTGACATTAAATTCCGATATCATTCTAGATTTTGAGCATAAGATATGAACAATATATGATATTCTATATTCATATTTTGTAATATAAGGGAAAGTATATCATGTGTTCTGTGCCATTCTCCGACGATGATAAGGCGAGGCATGTGCTGGAAGAACCTGTCTATCTTTACCATTGTATTCATTTAGAGACTTATTAGCTGCAGTGAACCAGTGTAATGTTCAAAGTCATCGAAATATCGTGCCGATGTTTACAACTTGAACTGTAGACGCGGGCAGGTTTTCGTAATTGTCTCGCCTTCTCTTCGTTAGAGAGTAGTAAGAGGTCACGTATGTCCCCGGCGTGTTTGAAGCTTCGCTGCAGATCCGCTAGAGGCATACAAAACAGTAAAATGTACACTTACTGAAACAAGATAATACCTATGACTCATTTTGTATTTGCAATCTTTTTCTGTTCTCTGGTGCATCCAAAAGCCATCACAATAAACTCTTAATTTTCTGTGACGGTGAATACATTAGTCACTGAGGAACAGATATAATAGTGACCGTGTTCCGGCAACAGATGGCGTAGTTTGGTATGCGGATCACTGTTTGCTTAACTGTGCTACAAAGGAAAGAACAATGAAGTTTTGGCGCGTGCGCAGATCTTCCTGAGAGCCAGGCTAGGCTAGGACATTACACAGAACATAACGGGTGTTTCAGAAGCTGTATAAAATAATGAAGGAGTTTGATCTTCTGGGATATGACATCGCGTGGTTCTGTATCTCTCCGAAACGTCGGTGGACTTTACCGAGCAACACGGTGTATCGTATTCTTTATAGTCAGCCTCTGCTGAAACCTTAAATATATTCTTTCTGTAGATCAGTGAATCTATTGTTCGTCTAAAACATTTGAGACTACTGTCATACCTTGGCGGAATAAAAGACGTGTGTGTTCAACGAGATCTCTGGTGCGAGTTGTACTACTGCAGACCCGTGGGACATATGGTCGTGAGTCCCGTGGAACTCGGAACCAAGAATAACTGTCTAGGCCACGCCATAGCTCAAGCTGTTAGTTGCTGGCTTCCCATCGCAGCGGCCCGGGTTCGATCCCGTGTCTGGTCAAGTGGGATTTGTGGACAAAGTGGCGCTGGGGCAGGTTTTCTCTGAGTACTTCGGTTTCCCCTGCCAATCTTCATTCCACAAAATTGCTCCACAGTCACCCTCACCTATCATCTGAGGGCTGGTACAATAGGTCAGAAGTGGACACAGTACAAGGGACTTAGTCCCACCCCACTAGCATAAAAAAAAAAGAATGACTGTGTTGGCGAGGGCCAGGAGCAATTTACCAGACAGACCGGGTGAGAGATATGTGGTATTGTGATTTTGATTTCCATGGTACGTTGAGAACAGAATCGGGTGACTTTATAATGACGACATAACTATGACGTCACCATATGACGATGACGTAACCGCAGACATGTCCTCGGCTTCATCTCTTACCCGGTACTTGGCCGGTTGCGGAGTAAGGAAGTTGCTATTTCTGAGCGAAGAAAAGAAAAAAAAGTTTAAAGCTTGGCAAATTAGTAACAGCATCTCAACGTCTTTATCTTAATCTCCATTGTTTAATTAATCTGAGTGAATTATTCACGATTGCAGCTCGATAATTGTCTGTAACAATACAAGTCCAACTTATAATTTAGCCACAACTTCAACCGGAAATGGCGTTTTGGGAGAACGAAGAGAGAACAAATGAAGAACAGCTGTAGAGACGTGGATGATTGAGGATGTTGGCTAGAGGCTGTGAAATGGGCTCGAATAAAGGGTGTGTGAGGGGTGCAGAGAAGTGTTGAATATACGGAAGGCAAAGCTTTTGATATGTAAATGTGTACCAGAGTTGCTCTGTGAGGAGGACGCTGTTTGCTGGTGATGTCATCCAAAGAGTCCGACAGTCGCATGGGTCTGTCTATCCCTCAGGGGCTAAAAAGCACGGCTTCTACCATTCATAATGCAATAACGTTGCTGTGCTAGACAAAAGCATGGAGTTCAAGCGTGCTCTGCTCTCCGACTGTCTCTCCCTCTTCGTCCCTCAACTCTGCAGGCGTTCTTTGCTCCATGTCAGATGAAAGAACTTAACAGGAATAGTGTGACCGAATTCGGTTGCGAATAGATGCGTGTGTGTGATAGAAATGCGTGTTTTTCGCATCTCCCTGCTGTTTCTTCATGCATTTAGACTTTGTGACAATCTCTTTTTGTATCCCTCTCGTTGATCAATGACGCATTGTTTGCCAAAAAATATACGTTATTTGTTGTGTGATTTTAGGTTCTCACAGCGGCCTGTTTGAAGATATTTTTTTTTTTGCTACGTTGTCAGTAACAATAACAGGAAACCGCCTCTGTGGTCTACCAGATTTTCTGAGAAGTAGTGGGTCTGGAACAGCGTCCACTCAGCCTCGTGAGGATAATTGAGGAGTTATTTCAAGGAAATAGCGGCTCCGGTCTAGAAACTGAGATTAACGGTCGTGGGAACACGTTGCGCTGACCACGCGACACCCACTATCCGCAAAAGGTGGCATTAACTTCGCCGACAAGAGGCGGTCTCTCGGTCGGTAATGTTCGCTTGCGGACTACAGGCCACGGAGTTTTAGTTTGTATTACCTTTCGATGCTATTAGCTACAGCACCGTAAAATATCGGACGGAACAGATCTGTATGTAAATAAGTCATTAGTCAGTTGATTTCCTTCCAGGTGTGTACGAGTTCGTGCCACTTGAAGACACTTCCGGCCAGCGGTTACAGATCAACGCTCAGAACTGCATTCACTGTAAGACGTGTGACATCAAGGACCCCAGCCAGAACATTAACTGGGTGGTGCCAGAAGGTGGAGGGGGACCTGCCTACAACGGTATGTAGATTGTGGCCAGGGGATGACGGGTCGCCTCTAGTGCCAGATGTGCCGAAAATAGGAGCCGTCGGATTATAAGTTTTGGGTAGGATAACGCCTGCACCGAGGTTCTCAAGCGTTTGCCTCTTGCCTTCCACCGGCCATTTTGTGAAGCACCATTGACCCCCATAGTATAAACATTATTCCCTTTTTTCAATAAGTGTGTGATTTTTTTACAATTATGTACATTCTAATGACCGCCTCTGTGGTCTAGTGGTAAGAGTTCCTGGCTACAGACCCAGAGGTCCCGGGTTCGATTCCCCGGCGCTACCAGATTTTTTTGAGAAGTAGTGGGTCTTGAACGGGGGCCACTCAGCCTCGTGATAATTGAGGCGCTATTTAAAGGACACAGCGGCTCCGGTCTAGAAAACCGAGATTAACGCCCGTGGGGATTCGTTACGCTGACCACGTGACATCCTCTATCCGCAAAAGTTGGCACTAACTTCACCGACAAGCGGCGGTCGCTCGGTCGGTATAGTTCGCTTGCGGACTACAGGCCACGGACATTTTTTGTTTGTATGTGCATTCTAATATCGTATTAAACATTAGTAGTAGTGAATTGTATTGTATCATAAAGAGGACGGATGCCAAATGTGGGCCTCTAACAGTAATAAATTTATCAGTGTTTTTAATTTGAAACAAACAAGAAATATTAGAGAACACATGCTATGACACAAGTACCAAACCTACATTTTAAATAAGCATCGACGTGTTAGCATAAGAAGTACAGACACGTGCGTTTCTCTCTTGAAACACAAATGGCTCCCTGATACGAGACACTTCTCTGTTCTTTTTGGAAATAATTAGTTGATTGCTACAGTGCGTTCAATCAAGGAGGAAACTTCGCAACACCGCTGACCCGGCCCAACATTCCTCACAGATTGCTACTGTAACTGCTGATAGCAGAATGGGTCATTAGCGCTGATAAACGCGCGCCTTTACAGTTACAGTAGCAATCTGTGAGGAATACTGGGCCGGGTCAGCGGTGTTGCAAGTTTCCTCCTTGATTGAACACTCTGTATATGTGAATTACATATGTTTCAGAGTTGAGAGCTTGACTCTGACAGTTTGTTTCGTCACTGGACAATTTGAAGGAATTTGTACTTACAATCAGCCCTTTTACTTTTAACAGACTTCCATGGGTCACTATAGCGCACACGAAACACCCAGAGCAGTCACTCTCAACTGCACAGTCTTCATGACAGCAATGATTGCGTTTCATGCAATTCACCCATTTTGCTTAATCCTTATCTTCAGAGCAAAGACCCACACATGACAGCCACTCATCATGTTCACATCAGCTTTACTTATATCCGAGCCAGTGGAAGTTGCACATCAGTATATTACTTGTTTGTTATATCTACTTCTACACTTTCCTCTTATGGAGGCCGTATTTTCCTCTGAACAAACAGTTGTTTTTAGCTACTGTTTTTGCTGTTATTGATGAGGTTTTCTTCTCATGCCTGTACTGCAGTTGCTTTCTTTTTGGTTAAGCACTGATTAAATGAGCAGAAGTAACTCTTGATCTATATAAGATTTTTAACCACAATCGAGTGTGATTGATAAAAGTTTGTATTAATTTTTCATCCTTTACATGTTTCCGTCAAAAGGAACATCTTCAGAAGGATGTTATCAACACATATGGAAACTACAATTACCATGTCATAGATATAAATGTTATATCTTTTAACTAAGGCTAAGATGCACATTGATTTATTAAAACACCTAGAATTATTACAGTTAGTCTGTTTACAAAAGTAATGTTCAATATTTGTTTTAATCTAGAACCAATTTATAAACAGATTTATTGTAATAATTTTTAGATGTTTTAATAAATCAATGTACATCATAGCATTACTTAAAAGAAGATGTAACATATATATTTATGACATGGTAATTGTAGTTTCCGTATGTGTTGATAATATCCTACTGAAGATGGTCGTTTTGACCGAAACATGTAATGGATGAAAAATTAAGAACACAACTTTTTATCAATCACACTGGACAGTGGTTAAAAATCTTACATACAGTCACTAGTGTGACGAACCAGGAAGAACCAAGTTAACTTCTTGATGGTTTTTCTTGACCTGTTTAATCAAGATATATTTTTTTGTTGTTAGTTGTGGAGTGAGGCTTATGTCGTTTGGACTTAACAAGCTAAAAGCAGCAAACACTACTTCATACACATCCATGTACCTGCACCACCATGCCTCTCCTTTTAGGTGATATCAGAGGTCAGCTCTTCCTGAAACCGCAACTGTGATATCACATGTTAGGAACTATACCATAATAGGCTTCTTTCCTCTATATTTTACAGTATTATGTAAGAGTTATCCACCATAATATGCACCAAGAAAATAGTATTATAGAAGAAGTGTATTCTGTACATTTATTTCAGCTGAAATAAGTTGTGATATGTTTTATGTAAGTGTGCTGGTGTTCAGAATGTGGTACTGGTTTAGTAACTGATGCATTGTAGAATTGTTAACAAGGGCTCTCTTGTTTTATAAAAAATTACAAGCATATATTGTGTTATATTGTTATATTGTGTATAATGAGGCTCTTAATACTGTTTACATGTATCGATGTAAAATATGTATTGTTTTCTATATAATATACATTTTTTATTTTTATTAATTTATGTGTTGGTCTGTTTTATTGAAGTTCAAGGCACATCCAATAATCTTTTCATTCATTCTCTTTCTGTTGTTGTCCCTTAGGAATATGATCTCTCTTCCGTAACAGTGGATGCCATATGGATTTCTGCAATTATTAGCAGTTTGTTATAATGAAGAAGTTGAAATGTTTGCGTGGCATAACAGTTCTGGATCGTTTGCTCCATCTTGTATAATTATTTCGAAATCCGTAACACGGTGAAAGGACACTGGGCATAAAATGTGATTCATCTACAGTTTAGCTTTGAAACAGTTTTTGCTTCAGTAAATATTTAGTGAGTTGCTTCATAATATGTGCCCAGAAATGCATATTTGGCTCAATAGAAACTGCCCTGTCATTGCCGAATATTAACCGAAATTGAAATGTGTCGACAGATTTTAATAACACCGCTAATATCAAATTTCATTAATATCCATTCAGTATTTCATGTGGAAAGCCAGACGTAGGGACATGTGGTTAGTAACATTTCATTAGGAATACACCATAGATACAATATATCCCACCCAGTTATTGAGTATCGTGGTGTAGTGGTTACCACGCCTGTTTCATCTTAGCCATGGGAGCGGATATCATTATTGACGATCTTAATGGTTTTCTTCAGTCTCTCCAAGCAAGTTCCAGAATGTTTAATTTCAGAGGGCAAGACCATGTCGTTTACGTTCCTTTAAGTTATTCCGCTGAGGAACGAACCGTGAGTGTCCGGGCGTAACGACAGTGAGGTCACGGAAACTAGGTCCATAGGTGGTGGGGGTGATAACGCTAGGTGCTTCCCCTTTTCTGCCTACTGTTGTATTCCCCTCCAGACCTTGTGGCCAATGTCAGCCAGCCAAAGCACTTGTTGATATTCAAGTTTATTACGTGGTTATCTCTGCCAACATTTGTGTGGACAGAATTGCTGGGCTACTGGAGGGGAGCATAGGGGAGTACGCTGGAGTGGGGAACGTAACAGCTTGAGGGAGGTATGGAGGGGGTCAATCCATGCGATTTCGTTCCTCGACCTCGGTATAGTGCTGTATACCACACTGCATATTTCATTTTAACGACTCTGCCTGTGGCCCAAAGATGCGCCGGTGCTGCTGCGGTGGAGGGAGGGTGGAGGAAGAAGCATTTACTTGTAGCAGTGGTCAATAATGTCAAGAGAAAGTCCTAAACCCGATACGCTGCTTTCTGCTAGCCGATTCAGCGTTCTGGCCATCACAGATACAGTGTTGCCGCCAGTTTAATACTGTTGTATCTCGGACTTGGGCCGCGCCATAGCTCAAGCGGTTAGTCGCTGGCTTCCCACCGCGGAGGCCCGGGTTCGATCCCAGGTCTGGTCAAGTGGGATTTGTGGTGGACAAAGTGGCGCTGGGGCAGGTTTTCTCCGAGTACTTTGGTTTCCCCTGCCAATCTTCATTCCAACAATTGCTCCACAATCACCCTCACGGATCATCTGGAGCTGGTACAATAGGCTAGAAGTGGCCGCAGTGCAAAGAACTTAGTCCCACCCCACTAGCAATAAAAAAGATATCTCGGACATGCCTAAAATGGACAATAAGTCGAAAAAAAAGCGTAATTCGAATCCATTATAACATGGGACGTATAGGGTTATGTTCTGGAGCTCAAGTGTCGGACCAGTTTTAAATACTTCAACCCTTCTTATAAGTCGGTTATTTTTATTAGAGTTTCTGTTCGTAGGCTCGAGAATTGGTAGTATAAATCCAGTGAGTGTTAATTTAATGACATGATAGGTTGGTCCCTTGTTGCCACGGCATGGGACGTCCTCAGGTTGCGGATTGAAGAGAAGCCCTCCAGGTATGGAGGGAAGCTGCAAATATATCGAATAAGCAGTCGCGGACAGCCGACAAGGGGTGGTCCTTCAGCCGGGGGTTGGGCGTGGGACTAGCAACTCCACCGTAAAAAAATAATATTGTTACGAAATTGTTATTGTTCAAAGAGTATCGGTTGGCCAAGGCGTAGGTGGGTGGACAATATTAAAATGGATCTCAGAGAGATATGACGGGATGGTATGGATTGGATTGATCTGGCTCAGGATAGAGACTGCTGGATGGCTCTTGTGAACACGGTAATGAACCTTGGGGTTCTATAAAATGCTGGGAAGTNATACTACTACCGCTGCGGCTGCAATTGCAACGTCTGTATCCTCCATTTTAGAACTACTAGGCAAACGTTTGTACCAAACAATTTTGGTTCAAGCATTCGCCACACCGTGTAGCAGATACATTTGCCGCACCAACTGTCGAACTTATTTGACTCAAACGTTCTGCCCAACGTTGGAGCCAACGTTCGTAGCATCGTGTAGCGCGCTCGAAGTACGTTCGCGAGCGTGGTTCGGAAGGAGTCCACACTGACAGAATGTGGTTACAATAACCGTTACTTTACATGCAACAGCTCGCTAGTGTGTACGCGCCCTAAGACTTGTACTGTAACACTTTATTCCAATTATATGACGCGATATACATAGTTTGAGGAGTGACAGTACCCTTAAATAAACATAATGGCGTATTGAGATACCGTCATTCGGTTCAGCGTGCATGCGTCTTCCTTGCCTTGTCGGTCCACTCCTTTACGGCAGATTATATGCCTTTTTCCTTCATGTCTCCACTTTCAGCTGTCGTGAATCTTTCTCTACATCGCCCTCCCCGTCTCAGTGCGGCCCTTTCCACTTTTGTTCTACTGGCTTTTAGAAATATTCCTATGCACTCCTTATTTATCAGCTCTGATCACAGCGATTCCGAACTTCTTTTT